TCCTCGGAACCCAACTTTTATTCGTATATAGTCGACAGTACATTTGTGAGAAAATCCAACTTTTAATCCTTTACCGTCTTATGTCACCTAGAGCGACTAGAATTATTAGTTAGGATTTGCTTATAGCTTCGAAAGTCTACTCGATAAGCATTTGATAGGCTTATCGTCAAAAGTTGTAGGTCTCTAGGATACCGGAATATTAAATCGTTTTTCCATTAGTTGAGTTGAAGAAGTTAGGTCGCATTGAGTGAAAAATTTCGTCCTGGCTAGATTTCATCCTTCACATTGTTTTACCGTTTAACAATCTCTCTGGTATCATTTTAAACGTAGACTTGTGGGTCATCCTTTCAAACTGTTTTAGAGGAGAGGGCTTGATTCGTGTAGGACTGCTTCATGTTCGACTGGTTTTTACATTTGACTGATAGCGACTCAGCCCATAATGAATTGGAGGGAAGATGTCTGCACCCAATTTCAATTGTTAAGGCCTAACAATAAGGTATATTCATCAAGTATATAAGGCAAAACCGTTCATAACTGGTGTAACTTAGTAACACTGGGGCGCATGAAGGCTGCAGAACAATCATGTTACTGAAAACATAATCAGTAGTATATCGAGCTAAACAGCAATTACAGGTTTGCTTGTAAACAGAATAATAAAAACAAAATTGTGTGAAACTTGATGTGTCTTTAAAGTCGTGTTTGTTAGACATGCTTTGACCTAGGCCGTCGATTCACTTTCCAAATCCCACTGGGGTGGTTGGTGAGACGAAGATTCAAGGTCTAAACTGCAATCTTACCCGACGATAGAGACCTTTGGGAAGGCATAATGAGTTGAAGCATAAGCCTTTGCTTTCATTCATTGTGAGCAAAGCCACATTATCCTACACAGATACCATTAGAAATTGGCACACTTTCTGTTGCTAAGAGTGTTGCTAAAACAGAAATCAGAGTCTCTTAACAAGGTTTTGGGGTGTAATAAGCATTGAACTGCAGTAAGAATTGTGTTCACCCTATTTCGTTCAAAGGGATGAGTAGACTTTGTGTTATCATTGAATTTCTCATCCAAGGAGTTTTAAACCTTTGAGAAGTAATGCTATATATATATATAAACTCACCAATTTATGGGATGCCCCATTAAAATCTCTAAAATAAATAAATAAATAAATAAATAAATAAATTTATTTATTTATTTATTTATTTATTTATTTTAGA